TGGGGATAACCGATCTGCAGAGTGGTAGAGCCTTTTGGTGGGTTGTTCTCATTCTGTGGTTTCCACACAATGAGCATCATGTTAAAATGGAAAGAACCAAACTGGACTCTGAGTTTATAAAGGGTATGTAACATCCAGTACATCGCTTGGTACATGAGCTGTAACCGTGAACACCTAATCACTGTGTAATTTACACTTTACACGGAGATTAAAACTATCATTAGATGTACATGGCGAAAATTTTGAATGCCATAACTCATAAACATCAGCATCGTTTGTGAACCTGAGCTGCATACTAGACTAATCTGACTACGCTGCCTTTTAGTGTCTTTCTGCAACAAAAGCAGGCCTCAAGTCAGTCCACTACAGAACAGGAACAAAATCATGCACAGCAGTGGTTCAGTCCTGGTCCTGAGGGACTCCGTTGTCTGCTGGTTTGTGTTCCAGATGAGTTCTTACCCAGAGGCTAATTTAAGAGGCCTGAAATTTGCTTTCAGCTCCTAAAAAGCAGACTGAATGAGATTTGCAGTGGGTATGAACCCTGTGCTAATGAGCGAGATTCAAGACTGTGCACAACTCAGGTGTGGGAGCTGAAAAATATCCAACTGGATAAAAGCAGCAGGACGGACACTGACTGACTCACCGTGGGAGTTGTCCGATAGTGTCATTTCCACCTGTGTCTGCTCACCATTAGTTGATCACCCAACTGAACTCTTTAGTCAGAAACAGGATGGCACACTGGAGCAGTAGTCAGCATTGCTGCCCTGGCTTCAGTTATAGACCAGGGCTGCTATCTCTGTGGAGGCTGTATGTTCTCCTCGTGTTTGTGTGGTTGTCCACCGGGTGCTCCAGTTTCCTCCCACAGCCCACAAACATACCCTTAGATTAACTGGCTTTTGGGAAAATCGGCCCTGGCATGAGAGTGTGTTTCTGCCTGCCCTGCAACGGACAGGAGTCCCATCTAGGGCGTACCCACCCCTTACACCTGTTGCTGGCAGGGGTAGCTTCCCTCTCCCCTGCAACTCTGAACTGGAAGAAGTGGTAAGATAATAATGGATTCTTAAACGGCAAACTGAGGAGCTTCTGCGAGCACAGACTGTTGGAAGCGATGCACTTTAGGTGATGTCTGAAACCGAGGACAGAGCGCACAAAAGTCTAAACCAGGAAAGAGATCTGTTCCACACACCAACTAGCACCAGTGATTAAGAACCCAGCTGGAACCAACTCCAGCAGACATAAGGTCCTTCAGACCCAGTTTTGAGAGCCACCGATCAACAGGGATGTGCTGTGTACCAATTGTAGCACTTACCATCTTAATAAGAGATTAACAAAACACATCTGAATGATGAAAGCATCAGTGCAGACTGTTAGTACAGCCATAGTCACCTGTAGAAGAGATGGGCTGCATGCCTCTCTGACAGCCAAATTTATTGCAGTGAACAAACTGCAAGGCAGAAATTACAGGCTGCACCAGGCAGCAAACGAACACACTGTCATCCCATTTGTAATTTGAAAGCACGTATAGGCCATCGCAGTTTCACATAGAAAACTGACACTCACACATTCCACATACAGCATCTAAAAGACAGCAGCAGGGAGCCCAAGGTTATCTGTCAGGCTTTGAGTGGACTGTGGGATTGCTCAGTCTTATAACTCATCTTTATTTATTCGGAAACATTAGCTAAATGGGGGTGGGGTGGGGGTGGGGGGACATGGCACTCATTTTCCATCAAAATTGAATTGATCATAATCAAAATACAGTTACAGCTCAGGAGAAGAAATGCCGACTGTGGACTAGACACGTCTTATGACAACCTTAACACATCCAACATAAAGACGTCCAGGGAGGGCGGAACCCACTGCTGTAACCTACGGCATGCAGGGCTGTAAAGGTTACATCAACGTGTCAAACACTAGAGAGATATGACCATCGGATTATTATTAGAATACGCATGACACTGCGGAAGGCGAATGGAGTGACTCCTCATTTGCTCCACATATCCGAGAATCACGAGAGGACGGAAGGCTTGGAAATTTGAGCCCACATCAAATCGCAGGAAACACTCGGCTTGATATGTCAAACTCCTTTCGGATATTTTAGTTTTACAGGCCAGGAGAAATGAGAAGCCCGTTGACGGGAGGTCTCTAATCAGAACTATCAGGGCACACCTATTCCGTTTTGCCTTGATGAATTCTGGCACTCCGAGATTAATAACAAGGTGGAAGACCCCAGGGCTTTAATGGAAATTGGATTTTGGGGAAAAGACGATAACACAGACCGTTCCGACACCCCATTCAAACAAGCACTGCCTCTTGACCTATACCACTCCCGGAGAATACGTAGCAACACTCGGCATGTTTAAAAGGGGATCGTGGTCATCGTCCGTGGCCATCCGATCGCTACGTCCCCTTTTCTCATCAAAATACACTCGCTCCTAAGTGAATGCATTAATGAGTAGTTGCACACTACAGCGGGGCAACTTAGCCTAAATTCGCCGTGCGCGCCGCAATCAATTCTGCACGAATCGCTTGGCAAACACAATAAATTCAAAACCAGACAAAACTGGTCACCAGAGCGGTTTAGGGAGCTGTCTCGCAATTAACAGGTGCGAAACAGTGCGAACTCAATTTCACACACAACGACAGCAGACTAATCTTGTACCTGTCAGCGGTACTCCGGATTATCCAAACCGACTGAGCGGAGAGTTCCGCGTTAGGCATTAACACCTCTGTTAAAGAGAGAGTTACCCGAACCCATTCTGGAAAGTTAAATCACATGATGGATTCAGAAAGCTGCATAAATCAAGACAAAAACTATTCTTTAGCGATCGCTTTGTTCCCAGCGAAGATGTAACAGATGTACACCTCGTACCGTCTATCAAATTCACAAGTGAAGCTAAGAGTCGGCTAACGTCCCCACACAAGAGAAAGCAAAAAAAAAACCCAAGCTTACTTTCCTTTTTTGTTCTCTACAGTCTTTGCGAATGCAATTACAAGTTTCACTAAGGTTGAAAACTTTTTGCAGACTTCTATTTGCCTTTGACTGCTCAACTTTGAAAAACACTTCTTACCTTCCTCTCGTCTCGATATCCCCTCCTCTTCCTTTACATGCAGTTTCAATCGGTACAAACAGCAATACACTTCCTCGCCGCTCACTTTTTCGACCCCAGCATATTTGTTATCCCGAAGCGTTTTTTCTTCACCGGAAGCTATCCCCAAAGGCATTTTGGTACCTGTAGTTCGGATATGCACCTGTAAACCAATTCGGATTGTTGGGCTAATTCAGTAAAAAACTACAATACCCATGATGCTATAGAAAACCTCGAACCGCATGCGCAAAAGTGACATAGTGCTTGTCTACCGTATAATCGCGAGATTAGTGGCCTTTTCGTTTGTGTGCATGTGTGCTGTTTTTATCAATAAACAATAAAAGGGTAACAACATTATATTATTTTTAAAGAGATTACTAATGCACATGTATCAAGAAGCCGCATAAAATAAAGCTCCAGTATCTGGATTTAGCCGTCTTAATGCATTGTGTTTCAATCTTATGTGTGTACAGAACCGCTACTTCAAGAGGTGAAGGACAACTGAAATATTATATAGGATTGTTTCATAATATCGTTTAATATTATTGTTTAAAAATAAATGCAAAGCGGTGTTAAAGAAAATTGTAGTGTTAGTTAACATTCATACAATAGTTTAACAGACCCATAACTAATAATAAATAATCATAAAAGATGGCAGATTAAATCGATGAAGGTTAACGAACAATTCTTTAAATGGGTGAATACTACAAACTCGTAGGGACGACCACACTGAGAAATAAATAAGAAGTGGAAATTTTGTTCCATTTAAAAAAATAACTTTAAAGGGAGTCAGGAAGTGTTCAGGTACGGAGCGATACTTGGTACAGACCTGCAGAAACAACCTACTGATGACCTGCATGAAGGTCTTTATAGAAAATCCCAATCTGTGAAGAAAGATTATGAGAACTGCCAGACTCCTTAAAAACAAACACTTAAACAAAAAGACAAGTTTGTTCAATAAAGCACTGCATAATTGTAGTAGAGATTTAATTTTCATGAGTGGGCATAATTAATGTCCATATCACAATAAAGAACAGTATTCACGGGAAAACTGTTGCGATTAAGCCGTCTTGGGACCGTTTTGTTTCAAAGCCTTTTAAAAATCTGGTCTTTGGGCGCCCCCTTGTGGTTCATTGTATTTACAACATCGGGGTAAAGAGGGCTGGAATCAGTCGGGATATTATTCATCTCACTTTTTATTACTTTAGGGTATCCAAAACTATAAAATGGAAAAAATGTACAAGGAATTTATATAAATCTATCTTATATTTTAATATTGGGTATGGAGTTGGTGTTAATTCAAACACAAATCTCAGGTTGCTGAGTGTTTATGGATTACTGACTGACTGCACCAGTACACCGGGTTTCAGGGACAAATATCGCCACTATGTGAGGAATTCGGTTATCCCATATGCAGGTGAGAAGAGTTTCAAATTCACTTTCTTACAGTTAGGAGCTCATTTTGTAGTTTAATACACGTTTTTACATCTCATGTAAACACATTTCTCTATACTCTGTTTTAAAATCATGGTTTTCGTCATCAAATGATATACATGTTCAAGTTGTCTTTTGTAAGTGACTTTAAAAAATCCCACACTATACCAAGAATGGTTTATGAGCGCCTATTCGTACAGCGAATTAAAAAAAAAAACAATGCCCCCTGTGGACTGTTTTGAAACCTACTGTAAGTAGAAAATGAAGATCTCATGAAGATCTCGACATCCTGACCATTCAAAAACAGTAAAATAAACCAAACTGTTTCCATAGCGTGTGTAACACTACATGCAGTCTTGATCCCTGTTACAGGAAGTCTCCCAGGTGTTCTGCATAACTGAGCATAGTGGAAGAATGGCGCGGTTGAGACATTTATTGCGCAGGAAGCCAAACCATAAATGCATCAATGATAAACACTTTCAGTTTCAAGCTTGGACCTGAAGCTCACAAATTTCCAAGAAACCGGGGTCTTTTGGGTAATATGACAAAATAAAAAAGTTTTTCTCCTTTTCAGATAGAAACTTAGAAAGCTGTATGACTTTGTGTTTGCCTTAGTTCATAATTGTGAAAGACAGCAATGCAGATTTCGGGAAAATCATATTCCAGTATTATATTGTAAAATTAAACTTTAGTAATACCACAGTATGACGCTTTATATAAAATCACTGTAAAGCAAAATAATCCACATTCTTTTACTGGCATATTGTCATTCTTTGACTTTTATTACAGCGTATAAGTGTGTTTTTTTTGTTTCTTGGGTCATTTCGATCTATGTACATTCGGGAGTCTGTCAAATCATTTTCTTGTCTGTTTATTGACAGTGAATGTTTTTTTAACCATTCTCCCACAACCCTTTGTGTTATTCCTGAGAAGTGTCTTATGCCCCCAAAAGAGATACTTTGCCCCTCCTGCCTTCCTTCTATCACAAATGTTCTGCTTGGGCAAGTCCCAGGCAAGCTAAGGAGTGTGCCTATTCACTTGTAATTCTCAGTCATCAAATGTTTTTGTTCGAATTTACATATTTTCTTGCACAATCTCTTTACTTAAAGCAATTTTATAACTTGATTTTTGAACTTTGGATAACACCACACTAGTTAGTTTTGCTTGATATTATCATCTTCTTGGCATAAGAACAAACTCTATGACAGCTGTTCACTATCACTACCAGCAATTAATAAGATAGTTTGTTGCTTTAGTTAATAATTACTAACTCAAAATACTGTCTAATTGAGATCAAGTGTTCTTATTGCACTTCTGAGCCCTGAAATTGTAACCTTTTCTCCTTAGGAGTTTATAAACTTGGATTGAATCATTATTCAGTCTTCTTTGTTCTAAGAAAGTGTGAAGTTTATTTAATTTAATCTGTCATTATTCAGTCTCATTTATTTCTAAATCATGCTACTATTGATATACTGTATCTAATTTGGCTGGCCCATTAATCCAAAGAAACTTATGTTTGCCCCCACTTGTATACAGTAGCTGACACTTAAATGGTCTTTTTACAAAAAATATCATTTTCAAAAATATCAATATTTTTACAAATGTAAACCTTGATTATTTGAAAACCTTATATAACCTCTATATTACGCAAGAGGCAACAGGAGCACACACTGTCTGGACAGCTAGCTCTTGTCCCAGCGCACACGTTTAAGAAAAGGCCACATTCAGCTTCACTTGCTTCAGAACAACAGCTTGTCAGAGGTATGTTCTCTGCTAGAAATTCAAAGTCCTTAGAAATGTTCTAAGCAGCAGTGTTAAGGTTGTACATTTCCCTTTGATTGACAAGAGTGTGATCTCTTTAACAGAGCTCGGTAAGGCACAAGATGTCAACACAGCCTTCAGTTCGCAGTGTGGTCTCAGGTTTAACTGCTCCTGCTCTTTGCCCCTGGTAGGTCTATAAAACCATATCTGGGATGCCTGTTTGCATCTGTCTACTTTTCTTTGCCATTAAATTGTTTTGATCTCTTTGTCTTGTATCATCTACAAATCTATTTTTCAAGTGTTCAAGCTTAAAAGCCCTTTCTCTCACCCACCTCCTGCCTTATCAAGCCGGGGGCTTAGTTAAACTTTATGAGAGAAGAGCACCTCGATTGCTTTCAATGGGGGCACTTCAAAATCCAGCAGACACAATGCAGCATTTCATCGCAAGTGTAGTAATAAGTAATCAAAACAACCTTTGTGTTGCAGTCATTGCTCTCCTGTCAGGCCTGTTCCAATGCACCCTCTCCCTCCCAACAGCTTTTGAACTGCAAACATAATAAAACTCTATTAGAAGTGATCATTTTCCATATCCTGAAAACTTTCACTGCTATGCATAAATGCCAGGAATAAGAATTGCACTACGCATCAGTTAGTACTTATTAAGGTCATCTTGATTGGCAAGAGTTTCATTTCTATATCAGTCTTTCGAAAGTACTGCATACTTTTATTTAACAGCTCTTTATATCAATATAAGCAAAAAACGTGTTTGACTTGTTTTTGTTAAAAAAACATTCACAACACAAACAGCCAAAATGATATCGGAATTGCATTGCTTAGATTTGAGAGCAGGGAAAGGACAAGACAAGCTCACAATCTTTATGATTCTCAATAAACTCTGGTGCCAGTCCTAAGATCAACTGCACTTTTGTTAGGGACAGATTGCTATAGCATGCCTAGAATTTCAACAATGCTCTACTGGCACATATAACTTTTATGGTTTATTTTAATTGCCCTGATCTCTTTTTATCTGTTTTTATTGCAGGTTTCTTGAACTTTCCAAAACCAAGCAATATGGAAAACTGTATAAACATATCCTGTCTTTGCGTTTCAGTTTTCTTTTTGTGTTGTAGGATTTCATAATAAAACATTTTGCAGTTTCAGAAGCATACTAAAATGTGATCTCATTTTGTACTGTGCGGTTTGTGAGCAACTGCTGCTGTTGAGCTCAGTAATTTCAGTTTGTAGCTCAGGTGGTTTGCAACTTGCTGAACTGGCAAGAGACACATCATACATCAGACAAAATCAAATGTGGACACTCAAAGTAGGCTCTGCAGCTGAAATGTTGTGTTACTTTTCTTTTCAGCATGGAATAAACCTTTATTAGTTCCTTTGCAGCCTATGCATGCTTGCAATAATACTCTTTTCACTGATATTATTTTAATATTACTGTGAATAATAACAAAAATGATATAATTTACTGTTATTATTACTATTGCCACGACAATTCTTGTCAGGAAAAGTGAACTAAAAAATGGACAGATGGACTAAAATATATAACATCTTACATGACACAGCTTTGTTTGACAATTTAAAATAAAATAGCATGTGTCTACAGTATATACCAAATTTGATACAATACATCATGCAAAATTTTAATGTTTTGTCAAACACTCTTCTGACCTTTTGAGAGCTGAATGCAAATTTAGAAATATATCCGGAATAGAAAACTGACTTTGAATGACCTGTAATTAAGAACACAGCTGAAGCACAGGACCAGGGGTGGGAAGTTAGGATGAGGGTAAATAGGGTATTACCCACCTGTGTAATGTTATGGTTTTATAATGGTCCTGGGAAAATATCTTCATGAAAAACCCTCAATTTCCAATATTGTGAGACCTTTGCTAGCTTTCCCATCCTGGTGTTCATATTTAGATATCCAACAAGCCCTGTGACGTCTGAATCATGAGTTAGCCTGCTTGTCCTCTAATAAGTTAGCTATGAATCCCATCAAACTGTTTGATTTATTTGGCATAGTACGTAAGCATTGTGGTTAAAACGCACTTCCTCGAAGTATTTAAATAGTAATAATATATAAGTTGATATATAATATATCAGGGTAGGCTTTCAACCCTATCCTACAAGTCTTCAGGGGCTAGGAAGAAACTAGAGCACCAGGGAGAACATGAAAAATCCACCCAGACAGGCACTTGAAGCTGGATTGAATCCTAGACTGTGGAACTGTGAGGCAATAGTCCTGAACACCGTGTTACTATTAGTAAACCAAGCTCTCTGATATAAGTCTATATTATTTAATAAGTACTGGACCAGTGGATTACAATACTCAGTGGATTATTTTGGAATCTTATCTAATTACAGTTATGCACTCTGCTTTGGCCTTGAAAAACACTTTATAAAACATTTCATAACCTGTAAAAACTTCAACCAATTAGTAAAATTGGTATCAGATCAATCTGATGTTTCGTTATGAAGTTATGATGAGGTGGAAACAAAGCTGGTGGATCAAGAACTAACTCCATTGTTTCTATCATCACGTCTCTGAAACATGGAAAAGTGGTTCTTTCTTAAAGGTATTGTTTATCCTTAAACACATGAACAATAAGGAGGTGATGTTAAATACCATACCCTCAGAACAGAAAGGACCTGGAATAAACAAATGCAGATTCATCTTTTTCTACCTGTAAGGTAACACATTGACTGACAATTGGGGTTAACGCATCCATATTCCCCAGTGTTATCTCTGAGGAAGAGATTCTCAAAGTGATTGCAAAATTTTCTTACAAAAAAAATTTCTTACAAAAAAAAAAGTCTTACAAAATGTACTGGTTCCCATCTTGATTAAGTAATAAAGTTTTGTTATGTGTTTATGAAGAACTAATTCATGTTAGCTTTGGAAAACAAAAGGGTAACATCTGAATGGTTATACATGAATACATTAACATTTTAATTCATTTCAAGCAAGGTTATGGTATGCACAAGAGAAGGTCATAAATCATTATTATCTGAAACAAACATTGAAGAATTGGTCTGTACAATTTCCTTTTTGTATCATTTCATTTTACATTTTCAAAACCCTATATTGTTGGTGCGTAATGATTTGGTGATGTGTTTCCTGCTTAGAACTGTTTTTTTTTTCTGACCAATTACTCGCTCACGTTAAAGTTTCACCACTGGCTCTTGATAGCCATTGTAGCTTGTAGCAGGAAAATGTGTGTTGTAAAGTTGGGAAAGTAAATTATGGAAAACAGAAACTTTAATCTTCCTGGAAAAACAAAAACCCCAGCTTCCTACCAAGTCAGTTAAAATGATACTTTTGCTTTCCCCAAAACAAGAGCTATTTTTAGAAACTCCTCTGCTCTTACTAATCGGCACCATTATGACACAATGACCTCTTGTAGTAACTCATGGCGTAATGTAGACAGAGCTCTGCAGGGATGCTGGAAAGGAGATCTACCATGGAATTTCCTTGAGTGAGCTGACAGCTGTGGCACAACTGCTGAATGGCATTCAGGGAACAACTGTCTTCCCTTTCCTCTGGAAGAGCCCCCACTGACTCTTACCCAATATCTCCAGATGCACTGCATCAAAGGAAAAACTCAGTCAGCATTGGGGTGGATGTGGAAAACACTTCACAAACTGGTGAGCTTCTTGAGAAAGCCCTATGATTTTGAGATTTTACCTTCTTTAGGTAAAACAAACCACTTATTATCGTTCGTGGCCAGACAGCCAAGATCTCACAGGCAAACCCATACATAGAACTTTAAAAAGATGGCTCTGAATAAAAGATACAGATACAGTCAGGATTATGCAATAGCTTGTGCTTTATATTTTTAATTACATGTATAGAATAGACATGTACTGTATTGTTATCTTAAAAACCCATGTCACACTGAAGTAAAATGGTGGTATCTATTGAAGATACATCCTTATCTGAGTTATGGTTTACATACATAGATACACTTCCTCAGCTTACAGTATGTTCACTCCATGCTGCAAAGTAAACCCTCATTAACCAACAGGGTGTGCTGAAATAGAAAAGCAATTAGCCTTTGGTTTTAGTTTGAATCTCGATGGGAGACACTTTGAAAAAGCGGTCAATTTGACCAATTGCAAATCTCAACAAGAGGCATCCTAGACACAAAATTCAGAAACATAATGAGACAAAAAAGGGAATTAGTTTATGAGGTGTGATCGAGCTTCTAAGAATGATTCTGTATTAGCGGAACTGTCCACTGTTTGACTGTTTCAAGACATTGAGTACAAGTATTGTATGCTGTCCATTACTAATGCAGTACAATTACAATATGTATCTTAATTGTAAGGTACCTTGCTTATGAAATTCAGCATTAGTGTTTATACTTGGGATCTGATCTCACAACCTTTTTACTACTAAGTCCAAAGCCCTTACCACTGTATCACACTGCCCAGTATGTAGCAAAGAGAATCTATAAAATATTTTATCACAAATCCAGAGTTTCCACCCACTTTCTTACAATGTGAACAGTGGGTTTTCCACTCCACAGTTCATGCCCTTTTCCACAATGCATTTTGTTTCCCCCAAAAGGCAGCATTTCTTCAAATTACCAATTCATACAATAAAACAAGCGAGCAAGTCAAAATCTGCTTTAAGAAAGTTTAGAATTTTTTAGGTCTGACAAACAAACAGAGGAAATCCTTCCAAAGAATTAGAGGGACATTCTTACTATAAATAAACCACAAGAATGCAATTTAGAAGAAACAAGTAGGAGCAGCTGCACAGTATAGACGACATACACAATATAGTTAGCACAAGCACAGCATTCCTAACCCACAGGTTCCAGAAATAAACCACTGGAAGATTTTGGAGGTTTTAGGCATTTCGAATCCATATTATTTCCGGGAACAAGCTGGTAGGGATAAAATAGAATGCCAACGTGAAGTGCGTTCAAATAGCAATCAGGCGGATGTTTTTTGGAAAGGATCAAGTAGAGGTGAAGTCTGTGCTGAAAAGCAGAAAGAAAGAGCAAAAACCCCAATCCTCCAGCTATGGAGCCTTTTCATCAGGTGTGTACAGGAGAGGAGGATAGGGCGGGGCTATAAGATTAAGAGAGAAGAGGGGAGAATGTGTAGGGGTGGTTATTAGGGGTAATTGGGTGAGAAGTTTAGGACAAATGATGGGGGGGGGGTAGGAGGTGTGAAAGGCAGCAGTCGTACAGTTGATTTTGGAAAATCTTACTCCGGAGGCTGTAAATCCACACTCACTCCGCCCCTGCCTCGCCCACACAACTCTGTGCTCCCCAAAACTATGTCAAATGCGCACCTGCGCCGACTTATCTCCCCCGGACTGATACTCCCATCCCCCGCAAAACCCAGCTGGACAGCTGCTGCAAGATGCAGAAGTGAAAATGCCCAAAAACCCTTTCCAATTGCTCGCTGAATTTGGCCAATTACTTATCTGTTATATGACACTGTCAATCTTTTTTATGACTTTCCTCTTGTACAGTCTTCTACCGCAAATACAGTCCCGGAGAGTGATTATGAACTTGAACTTGAACTTGAACTTTTTTGCCATATGTAACCGGTACTGGTACAATGGAATTCTTACTTACAGAAAGTCTCTCGTTTGTAAAACAAGTGTAAAAAACAAAACAAAGTGCAAACAGTGCATCAAGACAATGTACAAACAAACAATAGACAATGTGCAAGTAAACATGCAGACAGTTTGAATGTAAACAATACAGACATGTAAACAGTGACTGGAGACGTACAATAAATAAATTACAATGAGGTAGATGGTGATGGTGTAGGTGTGGTCCGAGGGGGATGGCTAAATGTGTTCGCCAGTCTCACTGCTTGTGGATAGAAGCTATTGAAGAATCTAGTGGTAAGTGACTGTATGCTCTTATATCTCTTGCCTGAGGGCAGTGGGGTGAAGAGCTCATGCCCGGGGTGGTGACTGTCCTCTGTGATGGCCAGAATTCTACCACGGCAGCGGTCCTCATAGAGCTGTTTAATCTCTGTGAGACCGCAGCCGATGATCTTCTGGGCCATATTGACCATTCTCTGCAGTGCCTTTTTTTCTTGCGAAGAGGTGTTGCCATACCACACGGTGATCCCGTTGGTGAGGACGCTCT